GATCATTGGTGGTGATGAAGGGAGTCCGCAGTCGGAATTTATATTATCTGAAGGGAAGCACCGAGATTGGCCAGGTTGTTTCGGCTATTTCAGAAACGGACATGAGCAGACTTAGGCACTATAGATTGGGGCACACAGGTAAAAAGTCACTGCAGACATTGTGCAGGTTGAAGAAATCGCTATACGGTTTGAAGCAGTCTCCTCGACAGTGGTATAGGCGATTCGATGGTTTTATGATTGGTCATTCGTATACTCGGAGCCAGTTTGATCCTTGCGTATATTTTCGCAAGTTAAAAGGAGGTGCGTATATCTATTTGTTACTTTATGTCGATGACATGTTGGTTGCCTCTACTTCCAGGTCGGTTATAGATGAATTGAAAGTTCAGCTATCAAATGAGTTTGAGATGAAAGACTTGGGTGAGGCGAAGCGCATTCTAGGGATGGAGATCGGCAGAGATAAGAAGAAGGGCAGAATTTGTTTGATATATGTGGCTTATTTGAAGAAGGTTCTACAGCGATTCCATGTTAGCATGGATACGAAGCCAGTTAGTGTACCATTAGGAGCCCATTTGAAGCTTTCAGCTGGTCTTTCACCGAAGTCAGTTGAAGATAGAGAGTTGATGTTGAAGACTCCGTATGAGAGTGCGGTTGGAAGCTTGATGTACGCAATGGTATGTACGAGACCAGATTTGTCACAGGCGGTAAGCATGGTATCGAGATACATGCACGATCCAGGAGTGGGTCATTGGGACGCCGTGAGATGGATTTTGAGGTACATTCGAGGTACGCTCAATGTTGGTTTAGTTTATGAGCGAGACACTATAGGTGAGCAGTTATGCATTGGTTATGTTGATTCGGATTATGCCGGGGATTTGGATAAGTGCTGATCTACTACGGGGTATGTATTTACTTTGACCCATGCGCCGGTGTGTTGGAGATACACCTTACAGTCGACAGTAGCTTTGTCTATGACGGAGGCAGAGTATATGGCAGTTACGAAGGCTGTGAAGGAGGCTATTTGGCTTCGAGGACTTTTAGAGGAACTTGGTATATCGCAAAGATCCGTCACTATTTATTGTGATAGCATGAGTGCTATCTATTTGGCGAAGAATCAGGTTTTTCATGGGAGGACGAAGCATATTAACGTGCGTTATCACTTCGTTCGGGATGTTCTTGAAGATGGTGATGTGGAGATTGTGAAAGTCCACACGAAGGATACTTCGTTCGGGATGTTCTTGAAGATGGTGATGTGGAGATTGTGAAAGTCCACACGAAGGATAATCCGGCGGATATGCTCACTAAGGTGGTTCCGAGCAACAAGTTTGATCATTGTCAAAACTTGTTGCACATTCATGATTGTTGAGGCCGTTAGCAGCCATTTGGATGAACTACGTTCGGCTTGATTTCTTGGGCAAGAAGATATGTAGGCAGTCTTTCAGATGCAGCCGGTTTGGATTAGTTGATTTTGATGGGGGTGAGATTGTTTGAGCTTTCGTTCGGGTTCCTGACTTGTTGTCGAATGAGTGGGACATTTGGTTGCTTTGGTGTCGGCTCAGTTTTGGGAAAACTTCACCGAGTTGGAGAATTGTGAACGCGGATAGGACAGTGGCCCCCACTCACGTGTAAGCTTGAAAAAAAATGTTCACGCGGTTTGTTTCCGCGTGAAGAGATTTTCCGCATGAAGAGAATCAAGGCCCATGAACACGACTTCACTTATATAAATAAGTACGAGATTTTTTCCCTAGGGTTCTGTGCGCAAGGAGCTTTTGGTGAAGGGCTGCGGCTGCGGGTATTTTCGGCAGAGGAGCGCGAGAGGGAAAAGTGCAGCCGTCCTTTTTGAAGAAAAAGTGATTTTTTCAGCAGTCCCTTCTAGGGTTTTGTGCAGCCTTTTGTAGAGAGAGTTTGTGAGGGTTTTGAGAGAGTTTGTTTGAGGGTTTAGATTGTGAGTGATTGTAAACCTTAGTTGTTTTCTCTCCCTCTAATAGTAGATATCCTCCTCCTTGGCCCGTGGACGTAGGCAATTTGCCGAACCACGTAAAAATTGGTTGTACTGCTATTGTGTGATTTGTAATAGCAATTTGCCGAACCACGTAAAAATTGGTTGTACTGCTATTGTGTGATTTGTAATAGCTTTTAGGATCCATCGACAGGTCAGTCCTAGAACTGATGAGAGTAAGAGCCGATATCTCACTTTGTTGAGATATTCGCTTTAAATTCTTGTTTCCTTGGTGAGACAAGAATTCTTATTACGACCTGACTCTCTTGTTGTACTGCCGAAGTGCTGCCGAAATTTCCGCTGCGCGCAACAACTACATGAATTCGGGTATGGTTCCACATCTTCTTAATTATCTTAATAGTTTAATATGAACAATCCTGGGATTGATTAATATTTTATCTATTAAAGCAAAAGTTTTCTTTTAATCTAACAGTAAAAGTCTATAAGTAGCTTAAGAGAGGAATCAATTTCACTCTTCCGCAGTCACCACTGTTAGAACTAATATAAAACTATAATCTTTGATCCTCACCATAACTTACGAATTTTGGTGTAATGGTTATAGGAATTAAATTTAAGATAGTATCAGAGCAACCCTGGTTCAAATCCTACCAATCACGAATTAAAAGCGAATTTTTAAAAAATTTATACCGCTGTATGAGTCCAAGTTTCGACCCATAAAAAAGGGTGCTCAACCTATGGGGACATGTTAGAATTAATATAAAACTATAATTCTTAATACTTACCATAATTTCGGAGTTTTGGTGTAATGGTTTGAAGAACTAAATTTAAGAAGAACCATAGTATTCTAAACCATGGATTTATTTCCTTTCCCCCCTCTTCAAATGAGATCTCGCCATTATAGCAACAAACTCAGCATGCACCAACTTGGCACACCATCAAGCCAGGGTTGAGGAGCTGTTGAACGACAAGAACGTCTTCATGGCTGCCTGCCAAGAAACCTACAGCCTGGGCGTTGATGGCCTCAAGGGAGTCGTTTAATCCCTCAAGTCCGGCATCTCCACATTGAGGGTAAAATGTGCCACCGACGCAAAATATAGACGGACGTTTTCATAGGGATTATATGCAAAATGCGCAAACTTATTGCGGATTTCTACAATTTCTGATAGTTATTGGGGGGTTTAGTGTGATTTTAGAAGTTATTGTATTTGTGGGTTTGCTGCAAAACGTTGAAAGTTCTTCGGAATTCTAGTGATCCCAAAAACGAGATGTTTTAATTGTCAAAAACGCGTTATGCTTATAAAGTTTATTATATATAAAAAAGATTTGACTCTTGAAATACTGCCGATACTGAGAATTTTTTGCAGCAGATGATCTATAACCTTCTCACATGTAACCTAGTTTAAATATTCTCAAGAGAAACGAGTACGAAGCACACAAACGCATTAACGTTGCCCCCGCAAAGCGACCACTAGTATTTGTTAGTGGACTAAAATATAAGTACATAGCCAAATATCAATGAATTTTTCTAATTTAAAAATTTTCGTTAGAGAGTAAATTGAATCAAAATTGATTGAGTTGAATGCAAAAACTAACAAATAACAGAACGAAATCATTTAAATATCTATAAATCAAGCTATCAAGTTTTAAAAGTTTATGCTAAAGCTTACTTTGCTCACAATGCGTTATTGCATTTAGGATAGAACAAATTATGTTAAAGTCAATTTGGTGAATCCATAGAAATACAAGCTCTCTCAAAGATCAATGCCCCGGACCTAAAAACAAAAACAACTTCTATAATAACTTATCCCAAGTTTTGGGATTGCCTCTATGAATTTGCATGCTTGGCAACTCCACAAAACTTGTGTTAAGTAGTAGGTCTAAAATTTTATTTTTAGTTTGGCAAAAGTTAGACTCACGTTGAATTAGTTCTTTTTAGCTCAAAATCTAGCACCTAAACTAGTTCTTTTCTAAATCAACCTTTATATGAAATAAATTTTGGCCTAGTTAAGAAATAACTAGTTCTACTTTAGAGTTACCAAACACCCATTTCTTCAATTCAGTTCTGTTTTGAGTCAATCTCCATTACTAACTATCACCGTATATCCTTGTTAATTGCTTCAACTGAGACTAGAGAACTATGTGATAGTGTACACTATATCATGAGAAACTCTACTTGGACTAAGTTAAAAAACCTCGTAAATCCTAGGCTTCAATCTTTATTAACTCAATTTGCATTTATGGGTCTCAACATATTCTTTTGGAATTTAATAAAAACCTCCTTGCCCTGAGATTCCTACCCACAACTTTTTGTAGGTAAAGAAAAAGTCAAATATAGCATAAATTTTGTTTATTTGATACTTAAAAATAATAACCATGGCAATCAAAACTATCCATCAACTAAAGTATTGAAGAGTTCACCATTAAGAAGAGGCCACGAAAACCCCTTAGAAATAGGCGTGTTAAACTATATCCGTATCCGAGGAAATATTCGCAACCGTATCCGTTAGGATGTGAGTATGATTACTCAAACTTATAATCGATAGGATATGGTTACGAGTATGGTTTCATAGTGAAATATCTGGATCCGTATCTGAAATATCCGAATACATATTAGTCATACTCCTATGACAGTTTTAATTCTTCGATTATGGATTTGTGGTTAATTTTGATGATCAGAATATCTAATCTTAGCTTTTTAGTTATGATGATTATATTAACGAACTCTTTTGTATCACATGAACCATGTTTTTTTTAATACTATCTAGTTTTCCCATATTCGTTTTGTATCCGCATGCATATCCACTTATATTTCCCCATGTATATTCGTAACCATATCCGATTTTAGCGAATATGGATATGAATTTTCCTTGCCGAGATATATCTGTATTCGTATCCGTATCCAAGATGGGTAAGCGAATATGAATATGATAAGTATCATATCCGAGCTCTATCCGGACCGAATGCACCCCTACTTATAAATAAATCAACTTGCACAAGCCAAGAATTTTATATGGCTTAGTGGAATCAAACAATCAAGCTTGAAGTATAAATGTATAATCTTGATTGGTCATCCGATTACACTGTATAATACAAAAATTATACATAGGGATGTTCCTTTCAACTTAGTTGAATTGGATTTGTACAATCCTAAAAAGGCCTTGGCCATCAAAATAACCCAAAAAAGACAAGAAAACTCAGGCAATTTCTAAATCATTAGATCTCCACCAATGCCAAAGTCTTCACTTGTCAATTAGAACCCAAAAAAAGAAAAGTAAAAAATTTAAATCCAAAATCAACGAGAAGGGCTTATGCCATCATCAATCTGGGATTTGATCTCCTCCTCCTATATTCTTCATTGTTTGAAGATGGCTCAACAACATCTTCAGCAAATCTAACCTTCTTCTTGCGCTTCATATTGGGCTTCATCTTTGGGCCTTCACCTATCACATGAATTGCAAAAAAAATAAGTTTCACAAAAAAGAAAAAAAGAAAAAAAAAAAAAAAGAGAAAAGCTAACAACCCAATTGAGTTTTCACGCAAAGATCAAATTCATGCAAGAAACCGAAAAAGATTCCAATTGGGTTTCTTGAAAAAGATCAAATTCAACAAAATTCAAAGAAAAAAGAGAGCAGATGAACATACCAAGTTCAAATTGAACTTTCTGCATGAAATTAGAGACGAGGCGCTTCTGAAGTTGAAGAGAAACGATGGCGATGCTGCTAGAGATAGCCACGACCGCCATTAATCCCACACAATTGGAGCTCTCCATGATCAATTTTTACTCGTTTCACAATTGTATGCACTTTTGTGTACTTACAGAAAAGTATTAAGAGAAAGAGGGTTGAAATAGAAATTGATGCATTGAGAGGAAAACCGCGGGGAGAAGTAAAAGAAGACTGAATGGAGAAGGAATAGGAACGCGAAGACAAAATAGGAGAGGGATTTATTTATAATTATTGACTTTATATTTGGAAAATAAAATAATAACTATCTCCTCGGTTTAGGAGTTGACTAAATTGACCCTTTGCTCTAATTGCCTGCGGTTAGGAGTAATGACCGTTGTGTCCTCGTGATTCATTGTTTTGTAACTTGTGGCTGTCTCAAGTTTTTCCAAGTTTTTTGTGATATATTCTGTTCATTGCATGGGGACCCTACTCTTTATTTGGGAAATTTCCTAAATTAACAAGACATTTGAGGATTTTCTTTCCCTCGCTGGGAGTTGGATAATATCTAAAACTGACCCCTGGTTAAAAATAGTATGTTGATCACTTCCCCATCTTATCCATTGTGATTAGTGATGATGATTGTGTTTTACATGAACTCACAATTATATTGGGAAGAGCACATGCAATGCATTTGAAGTAAGAATTCTAAATAGTTAATATGTATTTTATTTTATTTTTTCTGATAAAAAGTTGTTGGCATGTGCTCCCTCTAAAGAGAAGACACTGACAAATTATAGATAATTATTTTATAAAAAAAGATTATAGTTAATTGTGTCCTTCTAATGATAACTTGTATTTTGTAGATATAGTTTTTTTAAGAGCTTGTAGATATAGTTTTGTACATTGTTTAAATGTTATCTCTTTGATTTAATATTAATACCATAAATAAATAAATATCAGTATCTTTTAATCAAAGATAAACTTCCAATCTATTTCCCCCGACACTTGATGTTAAGCTGTCGAGGGCCACGCGTGATTGGGCCCAGAATAACAGTTTTTTTTCCCCAACATAGGATCTGCTGAGTTTAACTAAACACACAACACGTCTAGTTTCTGATCAGAAGCAGAAACATGTAGCATAAAAACTTTGATTGTTTAAAAATTCAATATGGGGTCCACCATGTTGCTTATTTTCGTCTGTGTCTTTGTTTTTGTACATGGATGGGTCAATCAGATGTTATTTATTAATATAAACTTAATATTAATTGTCTCCGCTAATGTTAGGTTGAGACGTGTCGATATTTTCTTTAGCACGTGTTGCTTTGTTGTATTTGGAGTGGTGCTCAAATTATACCATGGTGTTTTGGAGCGTAGAAGAGAAAGCAGGCTGCTAGCATCTATATAAACAACCAAGAATAGGAAGAGTTCAGGAAAAATGAAAGCCGACAAACATTTGAAAAGTTTCACGATCGACCGCGAGTGGCACGACGGTCAACCGCAAACGTGCACAGCACAGAGAAAAATCTCTGGACTTTTAGCGCGACGGTCGATCACGAAACCCTGTAATGGATTTCCAGTTTCTGTCGTTGGCCACGGTTGATCGCGACTGGCGCGGCCCCAATCGTCGACACCCCAGTCATCGTTGCCGTCGACTTCCCCGTTTGAGGTACTGATTAGTTGAAGCTTTTATATTATTTTGAATTCATGACTTTATAATTGAGGAATGATATTGTTTTTCAAACGTTTTTTAGAAATTTATAAATTTTGTAGATTGAGGAATGGACATTGTTATCTATAGTATTGGACTGACTCAATTTCATGATTTTATGATGTCGAAAGGAAATAAAATGAAGAAAATGTTGCTGTAGATTAATTTGAAATTGTCGACGATCGACGTTTGGGGGCGTCGACGATTACAGTGACGACGATTGGGGCGTCGACGATTGGGGGCATTGACAATTGGGGGCATCAACGATTGGAAACAATGGAAACGCGGCGACACGATTGGGGCGAGAGACGATTGAGGTGGAAACGCGGCGTTGATTGGGGCGT